AATCGCCATGTTCGATTTCCCAATGACTTTTATATTTCTGCAATCGTTTATTTTTCTGTTTTGTCGTATTATCTTTTTTTTTAATTTTTTCTGTGAGTATATTCAATATCCATTTTATCCGTTTCACTATCGAAATTGCGTTTTGCAGGTGTTTGTGGAGTATTCTTATCCATAATGTACTATAGCATAAATCTGTAAAACTTTATATTGTATTCTAATAAAATTGCACTCAGCCGCTTTGCACAAAAAAAAAACAAATTATTGTGATAATGATTGACACGCTGACATCATTGACATTTGAGGTTAGGTAGCGTTCAGAAGTTGTACCTAACGGGGCTTCTCGACAGGATAGAATTTATAGAATACTAGATGTCAAACGAATTGTACGTGGGCATTTGCTATCATGATAGAAGCATTAGCGCAATGCAGCTAGTATTCTATATATTCTATCCTGTCGAGATGACCCGTAATCGTACAAAACGAGTGCTTAAGTGATGTGGCGCCGACGAGTGGCAACATCGATTCGCACTAAATCACCAATCTATAAATTTCGTTTAACAAATTCATCGACTAAAGTTTTCAAAATCTCAAAGAAATCAAATCATGCGAAATAAAATATTTTTGTGAACTTTATTGTTCTCATAAAGTATAGAGTACAATTACCTGAAATAACCTAGTTAGTTAGCAAGCCTAGTTATAGGTCAATTAATTGCAGCTCTGATTTTAAAATTTTCAAAATTAATATTAAAAGTGTTTTATCGAAATATTCATACGGAAGATTTTTTTTTTTTTTTGTGATTAAGTAAGTTCATTTATTTTAAGTTAATATACTTTCTAATAAAAATTAAAAAGTAGTTCAAGTTTTAAGAACACGAGGACCACCTCAGGGCGGCCTTGCCTGCTTACACGAAATTTTTCTTAGATATTTCTTTGATTGCTAGTATTTTTATATTTTTATTTTTTTTTAAGACATGTAGCACAGAAATGGCAGGAAATTTAATTTAAGTAAACTTAGTGATGAAGAGTTGCTCCAGTTAATGGAATCAGTTGCAATTGACGAGGATGATAGTGATTTTAACAGTGACGATGAATTGGACGACCGTGATTATATGTCTGATGAAATCTCTCCGGAAGATGGGCATGCTATTTCTGCGTGAATTCGGGAAATGAATGAAGCAACTGATTAATTTATACAAATCACCGATATGTCCTTGAATATAAGTTCAATTGATGATATACCTGTAGGATCATCAACGTTTACTGAAATACCTGAAGCATCTTCTTCTACCGCAGCAAGGTCATTGACAGCAATACATTTCAAAACCAAAAAAGATCGCGATTTCCATTACCAATCTTGGAAACTACTGGTCCCTCAGTTGTTCCCTCTTCTGGTGGTTTTACAGGTTCAGGTATATGTTTTTCATTCAAAATTTGCACTTGATTTCCTCAGTCGATAACATATGTTTTATAGGTATTGAAAATATCTCGAAAAGTGCAAATGATTTTTTAAATATTATTTGGCGAAACAAAAATATGCGTTTGCATGTGAATGAAGTGGCCTTCCGCGGCAACTCATGGTTACCATCGTGAATCAGAAAGCTTGACACACCGATGGAGATGTTCTGCTACTTTTTTACAAAAGAACTAGTTATATTGGTTGTGGATGAAACAAATCGAGCAGATTATTATGAAAACGTCAACAGCCAGTTTAAGATCGACGCTGAAGGAATTTTTAAATACATTGGCGTACTCATTTATATGCCCGTTTACCTTTATCCGAATTTGGAGAGCTATTGGGGTAAAAATGCTTTCACTCCAATTCAAGAATCAATGACTGTCTTTTAGAGATAAAAGCGAGAGGATTGAAAAAGGTAAACCAGGATATGATCCCTTGTTCGTCTTGTGTGACTCCACTGGATTTGCGTATCGCTTGAAAGTCTATAACGCTGGCGATAACATCATTTTACCAGGTCAGCCGGATCTTGGAAGTACTGCAAATGTAGCCGTACAACTATCACAAACAATACCTGATTTTGCTCATCACATTCTCTACTTCGACAATTTCTACACATCCTTACCTTTGTTGGTATATTTCAAGCTTCCCTTGGATAAGGATGTAAAGAACGAAGAAACGAGGATACTCAATTGAGTACGTTGGGGCTGCAAATGGTCTCGATATTAACACGGTTTTGTGGAAAGACAACAAGACAGTGCGATTGGCATCAACTTACGTTGGTTTCAGCCATTTAAAAGAGAAAATGAAAACGAGTAATCGGCCAAAGTTGCACGCTACGATAGATAACAAAAGCAGCATATAAAAGTAGATTGCTCCCAAATTATACGGGAATATAAGAGCCATATGGGGGGAGTAGACTTAATGGATGGACCGTTATCATATCCACGCAAATACTCGAAATCCGATAACGCGCCTTTTTTATCATTTCGTGGATGTGGCTTCGACTAATTCATATATTTTGTATCGACGTCTGCATTTAGAAAATTGCAGCAACAATCTATCTGCACAAGATGACAAGCTGTTAAAGTTACCCGAGTTCCGTGAAGAAATTGCTGCTTGTCTTGTCGCTTACAAACTCAATCGTCCTGCTGGTCAGCCAAGTTTCACACCATGAAACACCCGCAGGAAAGAAATTTAATGTAGGGAAAAGAGCAGAACAACCAGTCGGGGATGTCCGCTTTGATCAGTATGATCACTTTCCCATTTGGCTTCCTACAGATGGTGGAAAAAGAAAATGTAAATTGTGCCTAAGTCCAGAAACGCAGTGTTTTTGTTCCAAATGTAAACTCAATTTATGCTGCTGGACTACTAAAACTGTTTTTTTTTTTACTATCACCAAAAAAACTAATAAACTATGTTATTCGAATTCCCCTAGTTATTGAAATTCTTCTTTTGTTTTTCTTTTCTTTTGAAATAAAATGAAGTTTTAATTAAAACCACACCTATTTCTATATTTTGATCTAAGCCGGCAAGGCTGCCCTGAGGTGGGCTCCAGATTATTCTCACCTGCGAGCACAAAACATGAAAACAAATCATTTGATAATATTTTTGAGATTTATGGAGCCTATAGACCCGGGAAAAAAATTGCCAATCTTTTCTGCCCAGGATTTTAGTTTTGCCTGTTAGAGGGTTAAGTACACAGACACTCATTCATCTATTGAGTTAGTCAGCTAGTAAGTCAGTCAACCCGAAATACATATTTACAGTGATATTTGTACATAAGTATATATAATAGATAGTGTTGAGGGAATGCAAATCAATACGTAACAACACGAACCTAAGGCAATATGATCTTGTGCAGAGGGTAATGAAGCAGCGGAAACAATTCTTAGATACTAAATGTAGTTTTCTCAATAGGAATATACAACCTTCGCAATAAATAAAACTTAACCGAGATTTTTAAATAAATAAGGCACAAATTTATTTACAACGAGTGAAGAAGGGCTAAGTTCGAAAATCTTTATAGTAGGTATATGGGGCCTCAGCACAGTATTGACCCGATTCAACTCATTTTTGATGCACAGAGCTACTATTCTCAGAAAAGGTTTCGTTCTGAATTTCTGTTGTACATACATATATCCCTTATATTGACCGATTGTTAGTTATTGATTTATTGCGTTTTTAGTAGTTTTTACAAGACCGTTATATGAGGAATGAGCGGGAATATCTTCCGATTTCATCCATTTTCACACTGTCGGTAAGGCTTTAGAATATTGTACATATGTACATTAAACTCATTAGAGAACGGGGCCATGCTCACTTTTTAAATTTTTTGCCCACATGTGCCCCTTTCAACCTTTTTAACTAGAGTTTTATATCTTAAATAAGTGCTTGGTTATGGCACTTTATAAGTTTGCGATTAATTGCTATTTGTGGACCTGGACAGTCGCCCGGATTTCAACTTATCTCGTCTTCCTGATCATTTAGGTATAGTATATACGGTAAAAATCTATATCTACCTCGCTTAGTTTTATATGATACGTACAACCGTTAGGTGAATAAAACTATTATACTCTCTAGCAACAGGTTGCAAATGATCTTAAGAACAAATTATTTCTCAAGTCGAAATTTGATTATCTTCTTTATTGGCGTAGATTCCGCTTACGCAGTTATGTAGGATTTTATATTCATAACTTTCTTTATTTATAATGGGTAGCTGTTTTACCACAAGCATACAAAAGTGATTTGATAAGTTAAATTGGTATCTATGTATTAATTGTATGCCGACCAGATATGAAAAACCGCATCTTCAGCCACAAAGGAGGAATACAAGTGCCGACAACAGGTGTAAATGCCAACAATAGTCCCAATAGTGTGCAGATCAACGGTTATGCTAATACAGATACAAACAACCAACCAAACATCAATTTGAATCCAGCTTATAACACTGTTACTTTGCAGCGTAACGGTATTTACGTACCCCAAATAACAGATTTTACAACCGGCGATATGTACGTACCGCAACAGCAACAACAACAGCAAATTCCCCCACAACAACAATATGTCGCGCCAGTTGGTATGTATTAGCATCTACATAACATTACATACCATATTTCAAAGAAATAACTGCGTTCCCGTGTAATGTAGGGACAGGAGGGATGTTTGTGGATAACCGTAACCATATGTTGATTACTTAACATTTAACTTATTACAGTCATGGGATTAGATATAACAGGGTTTAAAACTAGATATCCGTTTTTAATGTATAATTTCTATCAATATTCTCTCCTTCTAAATAATGGTTATTCTATTGGAAAGCAAATACTCTAGATAAGTAATCAACCCAATCCACTTTTTACACAAAGTAGGAAGAGTACATCTGTAAATCGCCAAGATTTTGTAAATTTATAGATTGTTCCGAATTCGAACAGATGGGAAAGTGTATGCTATTTATATACATATACGTACATATGTATATAATCTGCTAGTAACTGAGAAATTAAATGATTTCGGGAACGTCGTTGTTGTTGTAATAATAATTATATTATGTTGTATGTATGTATGTATACATTTTACCACAGATAAATTAATTATTAATTAAAATGTTAAAACCTTGCATAATAGCTATGATGCCGTCAAATGTGCAGTGGCAAATTCAACAGTCAAAGCAAATGGTTCTAACACCACAAACTCATTCCATTATTCCACAACAACAACAATCGCTGCCATTACCAATGCAGCCAAGTTACAATATGAACTTAGTCGATCAGCAACAACAAGCAATTCCGGTAGCAGCAAAGGAAGCCTCTGAACAGTCTGTAAGATACGTAAATACTCCCGCAGTAGTGTCGTCACTACAACACAAAACAGAAGTAATTGATTCTCAACAGCACTCAGTGGTACCTGTGACATTACCGAATGGGTCGCTAGTTGTTTCGAAATCTGTATCAGGAGAATCTAATACTATACAAACAGCAGCATCTAACGTAAAAGTTAAAGAGCAAAATAATGAATACGCGGAGGAAGAAATGTCAACATATCCACCAAAAAAGGTAAGTCAGCAGTATGAGAACTCAGAATGCTAAGCTTTCCCGAAATGTTTATGATTATGGATGTTTATTTAATTGCTTCTTTTTAATTTCAGAAGCAAAAATATCTTAAAATGACCAACCTTCCGAAAAGTGAAAAGGTTAAAAGTCAGCTGGATCCAATAGAATTAACTCTTGAAGAACAAAGACAACCTGTTATTGTCCCCTCCCCAGTGCACGAACAATATAAATTAATACACGACAATCTTGGTTTCGAATTTCTAGATCATGACGGACAATCTGAGCGACCGGGTGGTGCTATGCTCTCTTTAACTCTTGGTTTACTTGTCACAGCAGCTCTGGCCATACTGATTGGCTGCCGAATGCGTACAGTCGGTCGGCGCACACGTCGTTTGGGTGGAAAGGCGCCTTATTCACATGAGGCAGATTTCTTAGTAAATGGAATGTATTTGTAAGGAAAAGATCATATAACAAAAATTGAGAACTAACATTTCAGACTCTCCAACACACTAACCTAGAGCGGCTGTGGTGATTCTAGCAAAAACAAAAATACCTAGGAGAGATTTTCATACTAACAAATAAGTAATTTATTTACATACTGACAAAGACCACATAGCTATAGCCTTATTGCAAACACTATATAGGTATATATAATGACACCCAACGCAAATGCATATGTAAGAAAGTGAAAAGTTTTCGCTACTTGCAAGTTTCGGACGTTTTGGTAGAAACATTACATATACAAATTAATTTTTTACTATCTTAAATTTTTTTTTTTTGTAAATACCGTACTCTAAATGCTAGCTTAACACTGGCTCACTTATAACTGACAATGCTCTGCTATAAATTATAACTAACTTATTTATCTCTTAATTTTAGTTCTTAKAGTATTATAATGCTGATCATGCAAAAAGGATGGCTGTGGCATTTCTTGTTGCGTGATCAAGTTCTTCTTGTACAGTAAAAGCTCCTTATTCGCGCTTCCTTTATTTGCGTTTTCACTATTCGCGGATTAAAAAAATGAGACCCAATTTCTATAATCGCGACTAAAAATTTTGTTATTCTCGGATCTGATAAGTACATACATAATAATAAAATTATTCCGATAGGTATCCAACCCAAAATTCTTGTCAATTGGACTAATAAAAAAGTAAAATAGATGGACCCGGATTTTTACCCGACCAAGGACTGTCAACTCGGCAGAATTATGCCGTTACAACAACAACAACAGGACTTTGACAAAAGCCGCCTTCGCCGCGATCGGTTGAATGAAAGCAACCTTATACCTCAATAAATAAAGATATTTTTAAATGTTGTTGTTCCGTTTATACTAAAAGCCGCTTTGCGTGTTTTCTTGTTTTGTCTTTCAATTAGTTACAAAAATTGTGATCGAGTAACACGTCTCTACGGCACTCTTCCTAGTTCATAATGTCAACTAAAAAAAATGAGAAACGAGTTTCGACACGAAAAAAACTGTGTTACCGCTTAAAGTGGAAGTATAAATGCTTGATCGTTTACGCCTTGGAGAGTCATTTGCAACCATATCACGCTCATTCAATGTCAACGAATCAACTGTACGATCGATAAAAAAAATCCGAAGATAAAATAAGGTCGTTTGTAACTTCAACTTCACTGTCAGCTAAAATTGTTCGTGATCCAGCAATAGAAGAAATGGAAGTGGCATTGTCATTATGGATCGAACACCGCAACCAAAAAAGGGTGTCCCTGAGTGGTCCAATGGTCCGGGAGAAGGCAAAGCGTCTTTACAGATGGAGGATTTCAAGCATCAGAAGGTTGGTTCAATAAATTTAAGGTTGGACAATCATTGCACAACATCAAAATCGTTGGAGAAGCAGTATCTGCAGAGATTGTTGCAGGCGGACGATATCCAGAAGAATTTGCAAAACTAGTAGCTGATGGAGGATACAAACCTGAGCAACTGTTTTGGAAGAGAATGCCAAACAAAACATTCGTTTCTAAGAGTGAAAAGTCTGCTCCTGGATTTAAGGCATTAAAGGATAGAGTTAGACTGCTGCTATGTTCTAATGCATCTGGAGATTGTGCCATTAAGCCAATGATGCTTTACAGATCGTTTAATCCTCGGGCTTTAAAAAATCAAAACAAAGACAACCTGCCAGAGTTTTTTCGTGCTAATAAGAAAGCGTGGGTTACAAGCGCTATTTTGTGTGGTTCCGGAATTGTTTTATTTCTAAAGTTGAAACTTATTTAAAAAAAAAACGAATTTAGACTTTAAAGTGCTTCTAGTTTTGGACAATGCACAAGGTCATCCTCGCGAACTTGAAACTGTGCATCCAAATATAAAAGTGACATTTTTACCTCCCAACACGACGGCTTTGCTTTAACTTATGGACCAAGGAATAATCCAGGCCTTTAAGCTCTATTACATTAGACGAAAAAAATCAGAACCTTCAAAATCATATTGGGTAATATGGAATGTAATCCTGATATGAATGTTATGGAATGCTGGAGGAAATTTGACATAGCAAAATGCATCGTATACATAACAGAATCTATGGAAGAACTGAAGCCACACACATGGAAGTTATGCTGGAAAAAACTGTGGCCTGCTCTGACTGCGATTCCTCTATGAACATTGATCCGTCTATGGAACGAAGTATAATTTTTAAGAGACAAATTGCTAATGCGACTGCTGTGTATCAGTCTGAATTCAAGGAGCTTTTGAAAACTGCTAAGCAAGAAAAAATTACAAAATTCTTCAAACCATTGCCCAAGCCTTAAGATAATTAATTAAAATGTTCAAAAACTTCAATTAAATCTTTTTTTTATATACCTATTTGTTATTTTTTTCACATAGGAACATATCCCTATAATCCCATATAAATTGCCATCCCGTATTCACGGTTTCTGTATTCGCGGCATATTTATGGAACATATACCCCGCGTATAAAGAGCTTTTACTGTAATTGTATTCCAATAGATTTTATGATGACTTTGCAAATTGGCTATTGTTGATTTTAATATTCTTTGTTTAAGTTAATTCTATTTGTTATGATAGGCGGTTGGCTTGATCCTATGGATGAATGTGGTGTCGACTTACATCACATATGTGTCTACTAAAGATGAATGGGATAGGGGTTTATTTTAGTGGGTTTGGGTTGCATTAACTACCCCCCTTGTTAAAAAAAAAGGACGTCCTCGTTTCGGCTTAGGATGTTAATTCATTAATTTTGTGGTAGATTCAAGCATATTTGGGGCGTTCACAAAAGTATTAACGGACAAGGGGTATGGATATTGTTTACTCCATATGGGAGTTTCAACAACTGTGCGTATTTCAGCTTTAACGYCCGTTCTAAAAGGTAAATTTGTATTTATATTTGAATGAATTTTTTCGATTTCATTCTTTATTTCTGTTTTCAAATATTCAAAATTTTAATTTTTTAAATTATTTTAAGCGGTATTATCCTCCGCTGGCTTTCTAGGATCTTTTTGTCCCAGAATAGTACTTAAATTATATAATTGCTGGCATAATTCATCAGCGGGCGCCTTAGGAGCATTTCAGCTTCCCAAGGTAGTATTAAAATTTCCATTATTATTTTCAATATAAATTTGTTCCATTTTGTTATTATATTTTAATATTTCATTCTTTAACTCTATTATAACTCCTGCTTTTTTCAAAATATTAAGCCCTATTAGCATATCCGCTTCTAAATTTTCTTATTACGTAAAATCTCTGTATCGTATTGAAGATACTACTATAATCTTCGATAGTGGTGAATCCATTAATTGTTTTTACTCTTTTAATTATATCTAATTTATCTCTATATAAAAAAGTGTTTGGTTTGCAATAGCAACAAGTGGCTCCTGTGTCAATTAGGACTTTTAGTTTTCTTCCTGTTACTCTGCAGTACCTATAAATGTATGGGAGTCCTGTCTTCMGCCTAAAAAAGCTTGTTCTTGAATATTATTTATGCGTTGAATTTTAGATGGAGGTTGTGGTGTTCTTTTATGTTCTTCAAAATTCCGTTTGGTGTATGTTTGTTCGTGTTGAGTTTGTTTGTGGATACTGGAATCCACGTCCTTAAATTGTTCTGGAACTGGTTATTTGTGAAATTTGGAGGAGGTGTTCGAGGATTATGAACTTGCAATTTTACTGGGTTCGGCTGAGCCTGACTCCTACTGAATTGGAAAGCAAAATTTGCTCTCATATTATTTGAATTTAATTCTAGAGCTTTCGCTAAAGCATTTGGTAAATCAGACGGGGCTAACAAGAACAAAATGTTTGATAAGGAACCGTTAAGTCCTGAACTGAATATTCTCAAGGCATTTTTCCTGTGTTGGTCATTAAGATGATCTACTAGTCCCTTATTTGAACCATGTGACATTATCGTCTTATTAATTATCAAAGTAAATTTTTTATAGGCTTCGTTATAATAATCAATAATGGACAAGTTTCCTTGTCGAAGAATGCTTATCTCCTGTTCAAGGATATGGATTGGTCGCTTATCGGCATAGGCGAAATCCAAGCGACTTATGGTCGCGTCGGAATTGAGGACCGTTCCGTGATTTGTAAGAACGTCATTTGCATATTGTATTATTTTGTTTCTTAATATCGTTAGTGCGGCAAAGTATCTTTTGCTACCACGGTTATACAAAAACATTGAGTTATGGGCGGCTTTCCGCCAACTAACGTATGCTTCAGGTCTTCCTGCAAACTCTGGTAAGGATTTTATTACTTCTAATGA